TCATTTGTTTAGTTCGGATTATTCAGAAACAATGTTTTTACGCCGAGCTTAAGGCGCTTTCAAGACACGAAATGATGTCAAGTAAAAGTGATCTTATCAGCTTAACTCCGTTTTTAGACGATAACAAGATTATTAGGGTGCGAGGTCGTTTACAGCACGCGAAAATTCCTTACCGTGAAAAGCATCCGATCATTATACCGAAAAATCATCGTTTTACGCAGCTACTAATTGATTTTGCTCATCAATCAACACTCCATGGGGGGATTCAACTTACCTCAGCATTTCTTCGCAAACGCTTTTGGATAATTCATGCTCGCAAAACAATCGCAGCTAAAATTAAAAAATGCATCGTCTGCTTCCGTCAAAGACCGCAATGTTCGACACAGCTAATGGGAGATTTACCAGAACCAAGAGTTACAACAAACGTTCGTCCATTTTCGGCTACGGGTGTTGATTACACAGGAGCCATTGAACTCAAAGCATCACGTTATCGCGGGCATACCACATACAAAGGCTACATTGCCCTTTTTATTTGTTTAGGAACTAAAGCTGTGCATTTCGAAGCCGTTTCTGGTATGTCAACTTATGATTTTTTATGCGCCCTGCAACGTTTTATTGGTCGCCGCGGTCTTTGTCATGATATGTATAGCGATTGCGACACAAACTTTATGGGTACTGACAAGGTACTTAAAATACAAGCACAAAAATTTCGTGAGTCACTTCAAAGTGATATCGTACCATTTTTGGCTAGCAAGGGCATCCAATGGCATTTTAATCCGCCACATTCGCCAAATTTTGGGGGATTATGGGAAGCAAATGTAAAGGCACTAAAACATCATTTGAAACGTATTTGCAATGGTACACCGCTCACATTTGAAGAACTATCCACAGTACTGGCAAGAATTGAGTCGTGCCTAAATTCTCGACCGCTGTGCGGGTTAACAACAGACAGTGACGACCTAGCCGTATTAACCCCTGGCCATTTTCTGATCGGCGATTCATTACTTGCTCCACCTGAACCAGCTGTTTTGGATGTCTCGCCTACTCGACAATATTTTAAATTACCACGACAACTTCAACAATTTTGGAAGCGCTGGTCTTCAGATTGGCTTAGTCATTTACAATCGCGACCCAAGTGGTGCAATCAACAACCTAACTTGAGAGTAAATGACCTCGTCATCGTGAAAGACGATCGTTTACCACCGAATCAATGGCTACTTGGAAGAATCGTCGATACTCATACCGGAAGCGATGACTTGGTGTGTGTTGTTACCGTTCGTACCAAAAATGGAAATTATAAACGTTGCGTGTCGAAGATTTCTCGTCTACCTATCGATACACCTTATGAGCACTCAATGTAGTACACACTCTCGTAACATAAATAGCCTCTTTTTCTTTGGTTTCCCATCAGATCTAGCAAATACCACAGTAGCATCAAGCCAGCATAGAAACTATATATGTAACAGCGGGGTTTTTCATTGATCGTCAATTCGGTCAATGGGGATTCGTATGCCACGGATATGGCATAGCGGGCCAGCATGCGTGAACGCACCTTATAATTCAAAATTTATTTATCTAAATCACTCACTCTGGGAGCAACATCCACGAACGAGAAGCAAAATGGATCATGCGATAGCGTGCTCATAGTGGAGCAATGACATTCTCTTACGCCCGCGATATATATATATGTACATATGTGTACATACCAGGGATTGGCAAAGGGTGCTGTTTTTGTGACTTTAAGCCTACTCACGTTAAAAACGGAGGAGGTATTCGTGTATGTACCAGGGATTGGCATTGGTTGATCGTCACTGTTCATACTCATTCAATACCGCTGCTTTGTATGACTGAGCAGCGGCGTTGGCTTAGGATTATCGATACCTAAACGAAATTAGAGGATGACTGAACACCACCGCAAAGCGTGCTGTCTTGCAAATACAGCCACCACAAGTGAACGATGCTTATAACAGCTCATACTGATATTGACTTCGGCAAATCTGTACTCCGAATGATCGTGCATGAAACCAGCAACCGCCGTATTTGATCGACTGCCAAAAGCACGATACTGCTTTGGACGGTTGCCGAAAGCATGACAGCTTATGTGAAAGACTGGCGAAGGCAAGATGCCGCAGTTAGCTAACTTGATTTGTTGCAGAAGTCAAACCGCCGCCTTTGGTTTGTTGCTGAAGGCGCGTTTGACGTGTTGCCGAAGTGATGATACTGTAGTTCAAAGACATTCAAAGACACTTGCTTGTTTGAAATGAAGCATTGATATGTACATACATACATACGTACGTATGCACATTTCTCACAACTAGCCAGCAGTGAGCAATGCAATTGAATGGTAGACGCGCTATAAATACATACATACATGCATACGAGACGACAAATTACCCTTTACCACATTCGTCGTCATTTCAGCAACAAGTCAGATGATTTTCAGCAACAAGTCAGATGATTTTCAGCAACAAGTCAAATGGCTTTCAGCAACAAGTCAGATGATTTTCAGCAACAAGTCAAACGACTTCTGCAACAAATGATGACTCTCATGTTTTCAGAGCCGTTCAACTGCCACGTTTGCAGGTTTCGTGCACGATCATTCAGAGTACAGATTTTCCGAAGTCAATATCAGTATGAGCAGTTATAAGCATCGTTCACTTGTGGTGGCTGTATTTGCAAGACAGCACGCAATGCGCTCGTGTTCAGTCATCCTCTAATTTCGTTTAGGTATCGATAATCCTAAGCCAACGCCGCTGCTCAGTCATACAAAGCAGCGGTATTGAATGAGTATGAACAGTGACGATCAACCAATGCCAATCCCTGGTACATACACGAATACCTGTTTGAGCTAAAGGGTTTTTGTCAGTCGCCGTTCTACAGTCGTCATCTCCACTACAAAAATTTATTTCCTGACAGTTTTATTTGTTCATTAAACTAGCATAATTTATAAGTTCCAACTACAATAAAACAATATCAGTTTATTTGTTGTAAAGACTAAATATCGTTGTTAATAAAGTCATATTAATTAAAAATAAAACTAACTACAGTTGTCGGCTTCACCCTTTGTACACTGCGAATCTGCGCACAAACAGCGGTCCAATTGCAAAAAAAAGAGCTGTCAGGTAATGCTGAGGTCGAGTTATTACTAAAAATCGACAAGTAAGAAAAGGTGCTGTGAATGTCCGACTAAATCAGTGGTCGGCGCTTCATACCACAATTGTGGAATATCACCTCACACGTATTCTTAAGGCCGGTCCACATAGAACTTTCGCGTTGGCTTTGGCCTTGGCGTTGGTTTGACAGAACGCACGTTAAAAGTATGCTTGATACAATGAACGCTTGGCAGCGAATGCTTGGGCCACTAAATAAACATACTAACGACAGATAAATTAATATTTCATATCAATAATTGCATTAAAAACGATATTTCTTGTCCGCACTTGATTAAAAAGGAAAACTATTTAATATAATTTTATTTATTTGTAACAGCTGACGAGCGACGCACGCGAAAAGTTGAGAGTTGGCCATCTTTTTGCTTTGTGTTGGCGTGAGCGTTGTCGAATTTTGGCTATGTGGACGGCTGCATTTGAATTCATGTATTCATAGTCAGCTGTTGAAGGTACGCCAACGCCAACGCAACGCTAAAGTTCTATGTGGACGGGCCTTTAGGCTCTATCATTTAGTCGTTGGCTAGAGAGCTCAGTATATCCAGTAAACAAACTTAGCTGTTTTTTTTTCACCAAATTTGGTCCCCATAAAGGACTAGTGTTGCAAGCAACGCTTTTTCTGCAATAAGGGTGTTGTGCAGCAATTCAAGGTGGTGAAAATTATTTTAGCACTAGAGAAATGGATAGAAAAATATTTCAGTGCGCTTGAACATCTCAGGTTTAACCGAAATATAAATGTATTTAGAATATTTATTTTATTAACACATACCCATTTTTTATTTTACTGTGTCGAAGTCGTTTCTCAAATATTTGTAATTTAGTATTTCAGTCAATTGTGAAATATATTGAATGCACAAATTAAATTATGGGAGCGATTTATTCACATGGAATTGGAAACAGGGCTGATGATATACTTTAAATAAATCGTGAATCTGCGAAAATATCTTTTCCGCATATGAATATACTTCTTTACTTTTGCCGAAAATTTACATATAGGCTCGAAATTATGCCAGTAACTTTCAAATATCGTCTCTTGAATGGAAAATATGCGTAAGCGTCATTTTGACAGTTTTTGGTTATAGATGCAGTTATATGTTTTAAAATAAGATATTTCGATTTTTTGTTAACACTTTTTTGGATATCTTCTTTAGTTTCCGAGTAGTTGACTAAAATGTTTTCGGTAATTTGGTACAAATTCAAATAGCGTCATCTGTTTTTAAATATCTGCTTTAGTTTCCGACATATTCATTCTTATCATGAGTTTAATTTTCTCGAACCGAGTCACCTTCTCACTTTTCGTTTATTCAGAGTAAAAAATTCGAAATTTAGACGAAAGTTTTTAGAAATTTTCTATATGTTTTATACATGTAGTTTGAATCCTTGATTTTTATGGATTTAGTTAAAAAAATAAAAAAATATTACTCGAAAAATAATGCGAATATTAAAAAAAATCACTTTTTTGAGTCACTGTATTTGTCTATAATAACTCGAGTTGAAGCTTTTCAAATAACGAAGTTTCATTGTTCCCTTTAGTTTCCTCACTTCCGCTTTTGGTTGAAGGAAACTGAGATATGCCAATAATAGCCGTCATCGATTCGCCACTTCGCTGCTTGCTATGTTTGAGTTCCGGTCGCTTAACGAAAAATTTTGCATGTGAAAGCAACAACAAAGTTAGCTAGCAAAGATGGACAATAGCGAGTATGGGTGTACCTCATTGAGTTCGTTCGTTTCGCCACTCGCTAACTGTTGGCGAATCGATGACGGCTAATATGACTAAAATACCATATAACTAGTTAAATAAAAAGTTCTTAAAAACAATTATAATTCTTATTGAATAACTAAAAAAAAAATAAAAAAAACTATAGTTTTAATTAAAATAAATAAAAAAATAACAAAACTATAGTTTTTATTAAAATAATTATAAAAAAGTTATTGGTAGATATTTCCCCAGATTTGGTCGATTTTTTTCAAGTGGATTGTAAATATTTTGTTTCGTCAGTGGCAACCCTGCACTGGACTAAATCGACCTGTTGCTCCACTGAGTATATCGAACTCTCGTGTGTAGGGTTGCCAGATTTTTGATGCACGAAATCAGTACGTTTGACTTTTTCATGCTAAAAAATCAGTACTTTTCAGTACACTTTTTTATAAAGCAAAATTATGAATGTAAGTAACAGATAATGCTCTAAAACGCCAGAGTACTTGTTTATACCAACATTTTGGTATACATAAAATATATTTCATAAAAAATAAAAGTGTTATTCATTTTAACATGACATATTTGAATAGCAATATTGAAATGGTTCAATCTTCAGTGTTTAAACAGTCAAAGAATTCTATACATTTCATTTTAAAATTACTTTTAGTTTGAAGTTCACTTTCAAAAAATTTAATTAGAAGCCGGTTTCCCTCTTTGCGTCAGGAAGCAACCTTTATACTTAAGATCCTCTCAGTTGTTTCGTTTGAGTGTGGTATTGAAAAAAAAATTACATATTTTTTCAAACTGTGGAAAAGTACCACTATCTAAGGAATGCATCTATATTTCCTCATGGCTTAAATTAATTTTTTCAACTTCGCAAAAACTTTGAAAGACTAAGAATTCGCTAAAAAGAATATCTAACTCTATGTCTTGTATGCAAAGCTCTTTTAAAATGTCAGTAAATTTTGAAAAAAAAAATTGTAAGTTATAAGCAAAAGCCATTCGAATATTAAAATTTGCTGTTATTAAAACCGTCATCCTTCTTTTTAAATAATTTAAGCTCCATCATATTATCGTAACTGGAACGTAACGACCCGGCGATGTGCCCATAAAATGATTGATCTTTTTGTTGTATTATTTTCTTGGACATATCATCATACAAAAAAGAAGGTAGTTTCATTGTCACTTTTCGGGCGCCATATTAACTACCTGACAATTAAGCAGATTGTGACATTT